ACATTTATGGAACATGCCACCCAGCAAAAGCAGAATATACAACGCATTCAAGCACATATTGAACATTTCTCCAATAATACTATATTCTGGTTCATGAAGCAAAACTTAAATTTAAAAGAATCAAAGTCATAGAGAATATGTTCTGTGATATACAGTTAATAATTTAACCTTACACAAAAAGAGGTCTGGCTTTTGTTTTTATCTCCAGGAAGGTGATCTCTACAAAAAAGTGTCCTTGTTTACCTGGGGGCCATGGCTATCAGACAACCTAACAATGGGATTTAAGATAGAAGCTTTGAGCCATATGGCATCAATTTTCCTCTGGAGAGACTGGAGACTAAAGGTATCGGCTCTACCTTCCTGAGAGGTTGGAAAGTAAAGGTCAACCATGTGGGCAGCCAACCAGGAGCCTCAGTAAAAATTCTGGATATCAAGGCTTCGTTGAGCTTCCCCCTATTTGGCATCACTCCATGAATACTATTAAAATGGGAAAGTTGATGGGAAAAGTTAGCACTTTTCTCCTCTCCCAGTGCAGTCATAGACAACTGGAAGCTCCCTGTTTGGAACCCTCCTGAGCTCTGCCCTATGTACTTCTTCCTTGGGCTGATTTAACTCTGTATCCTTTGCTGTAATAAACTGTAACTCTGAAGATGACAGCTTTCAGTGGGTTTTATGAGCCCCTTTAGTGAATTATCAAACCTAAGGGTGTTCTTGGGAACCCTTGAAATCACAACTGGTGTCCGAGGAAGGAAGACTCTTGAAAACTGCTCCCTTGAAATTTCATATGAGATCATAATGTAATCCAACCATAAATCAATAAAGAAAGTCAATAAAAAAGTCTTCAAATAACACTAAATAATCTGTGGGTGAAAGTCTCAAAGAAAAAAAAATGTAAAGGATTATAAGTACATATATATATTCTTTATATACTTGAATATATAATATTTACTATGTAGGTAATCCACATAAAACTTTACATTCATAACTTGGACAACTTAGGAGAAATGGACTAATTCCTTGAAGATCACAAACTACCAAAACTCAGCCAAGATGAATAGGTAATATAGTTCTACAAAACTATTACAGAAATTGAATTTATAACTTAAAAGATAAAAAAAAAGATATCTCCAGGTCCAGCGGTTTCATTGGCAAATTTTGGCAAATATTCTCAAGAGTTATACACAATTTCTTCCAGAAAACAGAAGAAAAGGGAACACTTCCCAACTTTCATTATGAGGCCAATATTATTACTCTGATACCAAAACCAAATGAAGGCAGCACAAAAAAGAAACTACAGACCAATTGCTCCCATGAATTTAGATGGAAAAAAACACCAATTAAATTTTACCTATCAAATCCAATAATAAATAAAAAGAATAAAATAACATGACTAAGTGAGGTTTATTCCAGGTATTAAAGGCTAATTCAATCAATATTCAAAAATCAATGTAATATATCAATGTAGTCCATCATATAAAAAACTAAAGGAGAAAAATCACATGATCATATTAACATGCATTCATGATTTTAAAACTCTCATTGCATTAGGAAGACAGGGGAACTTCCTCAACCTCATAAAGAGTTATCTACAAAAAAACCTGCAGCTAACATCATACTTAATGGTAAAAGACCATTTTTACCTTTCCCTCTAAAACTGGGAAAAAGGCAAGGATGTCCATTCTTACCACTCCTATTTGACATAGCCCTGGAAGTTCTAGCCAGTCTAATAAGGAAAGAAGAAGAAATAAAGGCCATAGATTGGAAAAAAAGAAATAAAACTATCTATTTGCAGATAATTACTCTATAAAAATGAATCTATAAGGAAAAACCTAATACTAATAAGTTAGTTGAATAACATCAAAGAATACAAGATAAACATACAAAAGCAACTGAATTTCTATACACTGACAATGAACAAGTAGAAACTAAATAAAAATGCAGTACCATTTAAAAATGCTCTCCCCAAAAATGAAATACCTAAGTAAAAAATTAACAAAACATGTACAGATTTTGTATGATGAAAATTATAAAATGCTAATAAGAAACCAAAGAAAAAAATACTTGGAGAAACATGCTATGCTTACAGATTGGAAGCCTCAATAGAGCAATGATACTAATTTTCTAACTTCATGAATAGGTTTAACATAATTCCCATTAAAATGTAAGCAAGTTTTTTGGTACACACAGGCAAGTTTATCCTAAAATTTATATGCACAGGAAAAGGGCATAACAATAGTAATAACAATAGTAAAACAATTTTGAAAAGTAATGTGGAAGGGAAGAATCACTCTTTCCGATATTAAGGCTTATTACATAACTGCAATAATCAAGAAGCTATGGTACTGGCGCTCAACGGTACAAGACAGAATTCAGAAACGGAGCCACACAAGTAAGCCCAACTAATTTCTAACAAGGTTGAAAAAGCAATTCAATGAAGGAGGGATATTTTTTAAATAAATGGTGATGGAGCAATTGGACATCCATAGACCAAAAAATGAACCCCGACTTAAAGTCTCAAATTTTCTACAAAGATGAACTCAAAATGGATCACAGACATAAACAAAAAATGTACCACCATGGAAGTTTTAGAAAAGAATGTAGGAAAAAATCTTCAGGACCTAGGACTAGGAGAGAGTTCTCAGACTTGACAGCCAAAAATACCCAAAACTAAAAAACAAAACCCAAAAACTAAAAAACCCCTCACAATTTATAAGATATAAAATGGATAGGTTAAGACTTCAACAAAATTAAAAACTTTTGCTCTGAAAAATACCCTGTTAAAAGAATTAAAAGACAAAATACAGACTTGGAGAAAATATTTAAGTCACATATCCAACAAAGGCCTGTGTAGATACAAGAAATACTTAAAACTCAACATTAAAAAACCAATCAAATTAGAAAGTGGGCAAAAGACACAAACAGACATTTCACTGAAGAGGACACACAGATAGCAAATAAACACAAGATGTTTAATAAAATTTTCTATTAAGGAAATTCAAATTAAAAATTTAATGAGGTATCACTACCCACCTATCAGAATGGCTAAAATGAAAAACAGATCTAACACCAAATGCTGGCTAAGATTCAGTGAAACTCACTCACTCACACATTGCTGTATGAGAATATAAAATGGTACAACCACTGTGTAAAATAGTTTGGTACTTCCTTACAAAACTAAAAATGGGCTTACCAAAACACCTAGCAATTATATGCTTGAGCTTTATCTCAGACTTATATTCATTACAAACTTTTACATGATTGTAAGGAGCATATATGTTATATACATATATGTGAAAGGTATACATATATAAACATATATGTATAAAAACAAACATAAAAACATGTATATATAAATATTTTCATGTACAAATTTTTACATGAATGTAAAGAATATATATATGTATTTATACAAAATACGTATATTCTTTACATTCATGTACTATATACATATATGGAATAGAAGAAAAAAAGCCAAAACTCAAAAGGTCACGTACTACAGGATTCCATTTATGTAACATTCATGAAATAGTATAATTATATAGATGTAGAACAGATTAGTGGTTACCAAAGGTTAGGAAAAGGGAAGAGAGAGATGGGTGTAGCTATAAAGAGGTAAAAGCAGAGTCTTGTGATGATGGTACTATCGAGCATTTTAACTGTTGCAGTGGTGATACAAAGCTGTATGTGATAAAACTGCATAGAGCTATACATACACATACACACAAGTGAAATCTGAATAAATTCTATGGATTGTACCCATATAAACTTTTCAGTATGATATTGTACTATAGTTGTGTATGATGTTAACATGGGGGAAGCTGGAGGAAGGGTACATGGGACTTCCCTATACATTTCTCTTTGCAACTTCCTGTGAATCCGTAACTATTTCAAAATAAAATGTTTAAAAAAAGAAGTCACCACATGTATGCAAAAGGGAAGGCCTGGCTAGGCATCAAACATTGATAAAAGAATGAAATATTTAAATGAAAACATAACACTTAGAAGCATATGCATAATTTTTCCATGGTTCCCCTCTGTATTTATTCCTTAGAGCTGACATGACTAAGTACCACAAACTGAGTGGCTTAAAACAACAGAAATATACTTTCTCACAGTTTTGGACACTAAGGAGTCAGAGACATCATCAAAGCCCTCTACCCTGTAGAAGAACCTGCTCTTGGACTCCAGGACCCTACACTTTCCTGGATCACCTCCTTCCTTCCCAATCATCCCTCTGCCATCTCTACCTCCTCAATGTAGTCATTTTCTTTAAACTCTCCCAGTTTCTAATTAATCTCAATTTTTTCTAAATACTCTATTAGAATATCAATTCATATGTTCTTGACCCATGAGATTAAAAATGTTTTTATAATACTTTAAAAAAGTATTCCCATTACCTAACAAAGCAACATTTGTGAATTTAAAAAAAATTAATGCTCTGTTGGTTGTATCCTTTGATGAACAGAAATGTGTAAGTTTGATATATTCCCATTTGTCTATTTTTGTTTTGGTCACCTGTACCTTGGTGTCATATCCTAGAAATCACTGCCAAATCCGATGACAAAGCTTTTCCCTTATATTTTCTTCTAGATGTTTTATAGTTTTGAGTCTTACCTTTAGTTCTTATCTATTTTGCATTAATTTTTGTAAATGGCAGAAGGTAAAGATCCCACTTTATTCCTTTGCATGTGGATATCTAGTATTCCCAACACCATTTATTAAGGATACAGTCTTTTCCTCCACTGAATGGTCTTGGCATTCTTGTCTAAAAGCATTTGGTCATATTTCTGAGGGTTTATTTCCAGCCTTTCTAATCTATTCAATTCACATGTACATCTGTCCTTATGCCACTACAACACTGTTTGATTACTGTAATGTTGCAGTATGTTTTGAAATCAGGTTTTCCCTAACTACCCTGTGTAAAATAACCCTACCAGCCCTACAGCCTGACCAGCTGGCCTTCTCCTTGCAACAGCTTCCTTCCTCCATTGCTCACTCACCTGAACACTGGCCTCCTTTCACTTCCCTCACAACCATCCAGGGCTCCTTCCCTTGTTCTAATGAGGAGATCACAGCCGGCTTAGAAATAGAAAGTCCTGGTTGGTTATAGGAAAAGAAAATGGAGATGAGAAAGAAATGAAAGTATCCAAATATTGTGATTCAGAATTGATTAAAAAAAACAAACTACAGGACAGAATGGTACTTGATAAGGTCTACAAAAGGACTAAAAATTCATACTCAATAGGTTAACTCAGGATCATAAGAAACAAAGCAAGCAAATAGGTGATAAAATGCTATTTAAATTATGTAAGCTTTCTCTGTTTACTCAGTTAGGAGAAAATAAGAGGCTTTTTGAGACACTTATTCTCAGGTATTTTCCAATGTTATGTTGGAAATGCAAAGTTCTTAGAATGTAACTTCCAAATGCATATTCTTTAAAAGAGAATATATTTGTTGAAGGAAACAGAACAGTGTTCACTGGAGTTGTAAACAGTAAATGACATTTCTTGACCCAGCCCCATGACTACATTAACTGGGAAGGCTTAAAGAGCTTCATAGTCAGGATCCATGTGGTTAGTTTTAACCTATGCTAGTGCACCTGCAGGTTTAGTACCGTGCAAGTGACAAAAGATGAAGTCTAGTTTCTCTGACCATGTTATGCTTTAATGGTACAGAACTCCAGTTCTGCTCCTTAATCATCAAGGAAGAAAGTCAATTATAAGAAGGACCAGAGGAAGGTGTGAGGATGGGGAAAATGAAGGTACCTCTATCTAGCTGTGCTCAATTCTACACAAAGAGAAAATCTGTCTACTTATTCGAAAGGTAGCCCTAAAATTCATATTGGAGAAGGCAGAAATTCCAAAAAACAGATTCTGAAATATTAGAAGTAGATAAACTTACCCAATGAAACCAAGTTGCTATAGTTTTCTAACATCACATCTTTGTACAAATTCCTCTGTGCAGGGTTCAGGCAGTCCCATTCCTCCTGAGAGACGTCTATAGCCACATCTTTGAACATCACCAACCCCTAAAATGACAAATCATGGTACTATTCTTGAAATTTTAAGAAAACACTTTTCAAAAGAAAGAATAGGTGCTAAAAGAAGACATACAGGAAAGAGAAGGTATAGTGAATATATAAGCTAAGGTTGGAAGCTTATGACATGGGTCAAAAAAGAACTTAGGCTGTGGCAGAGTGCCTACATGTTCATAAAAAACTCAATTTATGCACATTCATCCTTTTGCATAGGGTGAAAATCTGCTAATCAATTTCTAGAAATTAAGAAAATAAGTAGAGGTTCTCAACTAAGCTTAAATAGGTAGGCAATTTCTTATCTTTCCAGAATGCCTTACAAAGATCTCCATCTTGAGAAAAAGGGCTTAAAGATTTTTCTTTATCATTATAACTATTACATCATAAGCATTTTAATTTTCATGCAAATTCTTTGGTAATATCTAGTGTAAAATTTACCAAAGATGGACAGAACAGCATCTTCCATCCCATACATTCTTCAATGTAACCTTCACATGCCCCATACCATTGAATAGGGTCTATGTCCTCTCCCCTTGAACCTGGACCTGAGAGAACATTTGTGACTTACTCAACTTATAGATCAGAACAGAAATGATGATGTGACTTCTGAAGTTATATTATAAAAATGCCTGTCTTCTGTCACTCTGTCTATCTTAGAATACTTCTTCTTTGGAACCTAGTCACCACGTACCTAAGAAGCCCAAGTAGCCTATGGAACAGATAATGTGAAAAGGTACCAAGGCCCCCAGGCCACAGCCCTGGCTGAGCAACTAGCCAACATCCAGCAACAATTTGCAAGCCATGCAAGGGAGCCAACTTGAAAATGGATCATCCGGCTTCAACTCAAGCCATCAGAACTGACACGGTGTAGAACAGGAGCTACTGAGTCCTGTTCAAATTGCAGACTTGAGAGTCAAAAAAGATTGTTGTTGTTTTAATCTATTACGTGTTGGGGTGGTTTGTTATGCAGCAACAGTAATTTAACATCATTTTCCCTAATTGGTGGCATAACATTTGGTCTTAACAAACAAGAGATTTAATCATTCTCAGAAGCATGGACTTCTAGGGGTGGACAAAATCTATTAAGGTCTTTTCTAAGAGATACAGCATTCTAGTTTTTGCACTTGCACTTGGGACATCTTACCTGTTACCATCCAACACTCTTCCCCTTTTGTGTTCCAGTTCCTAAATTAGGGAGTACTGATGTAGAATAAGCCAGACTCACAGAGATGTGACCTAAGCCAGTTCAATCTAAAATTTGACTTTGAACTGGTGCTCATCTATACCTGGTAAGGCCTTTGATCTTTCTATATGCAAGCACCAACCATAACCCCACCAAATCCTAATGCTTCAAAAAGCAAAAGGTCTTTCCACCCAGTGAGATCACCCTACACAAATTCCCATAATGACAGCTTGGAAAAGTCAAAATTGTGGAGGAGTTTTTATAAAGATTTCCCAAGTGTAATCTGATTAATAATTTTCTCCTGAAAACACCATTTCCCCAGAGATACTTGATATCTCAAGTAGGTGGCTGTTTTCTGTCCTACAATCTTCATACCACTGTAGTTCCCACTCCTTATTGCCGGTAGCAGACAACTGTCCCTACTTCTCCAAAATCTAATGTCATTATTTCATCAGACTATCCCATGCACTGATCTCTACTGCAGAGATTTGACATCCAGATTTCTGCCCCTCAGGAATTTTTAGCTCCTGGCTCAAAGTCCCTACCTTTAATATTATTCCTATCTTAATTCGCAGTGATTTCAAATATCCACATACCTATTCCTTCCTTCTGTTATCCTGGCCTCCCATGTCCCTAACCCCTTCTCTATTTCAATGATCTTTTCTTCCAATCTAGTTCACTCACTCCTCATGTCACTACCGTAGACCTTATCATTAGCAGTAACCACAACATCTTCAAAATATCAAGTATCCTCTCTGGTCACCTTCACATTGTTACTCACAACACTCATACCTTCTTACCCAAATTAAATTCTATGTTCAACTAATCACCCACCTTCATTACCACTCTCAGTATGAACTGCCTTGACCCTCTCATTTCATATTTGCTTAGCAAAGCCTGAATCCTAGATAAATCCAACCCTCTTCCTACTCTGTCACTGTATCTATGTAGCTGACTATAACTAGTGAAAATTATCAAACTTCATGATGGGGGGTTTTTACTTTTGTATTTTATTTTCCTTTCTTAAATGGTTCAGAACAAAAAAGATACATATTCAGATGTCTTACCCCCACCCTGTCCTGTCCATTTTGTCTCCCACCTTTTAACCCTTATAAATGAGCAATTTTCTAAGTTTCTTATATGTCTTTCCGGTGTTTTTAAGCAAATACATGTATATATGTTTATATTATTTTCCACAATTGTACATAAAAGGCAAATACTATAACATATACATGGTTGTGCTTGCTTTTTTTACTTATTAAATCCTAAGGCTAATGGCCTCCTTATTTTTCTATAGGTATAAATCGTCCATTTTTTGCTATTTATTAGAGTTTATTTACCAGATATCTATAGATAGATACTTGGTTGTTTCTAATCTTTTGCTGTAACAAAATCTGATTAATCATCTTCCCCTGAAAATACCATTTCCCCTGAGATACCTGACATCTCAAGTAGGTGCAATAACCAGTAACAATGGTGCAATGACCACTCCTGGTAATACATCATTTTGTACACATACAAGTACATTTATAACAGAAAGTCTCAGAAGTCAGACTGCTGAGTTGAAACAGAAAATCTATGTGCAATTTTGGTAGATGATGTCAAATTGCCCTCCACGGCAGTTGGATCATTTTGCTGGATACCAGCAATACATGATAGTATCATTTCCTTACAGCCCAACCCGCAGTGTTTGTCAAAACATTTTTGCCAGTTTAATAAAGGGAAAACTGTATGTCAAGTTTTAATTGGTATGTCCTGAATTATGAGTTGAGTGTTTTTATTTTTATAAGGGCCTTTTATTTATTTTTTTTCTGTTAATTCTCTGTTCATGTCCTTTGACCCTTTTCCTACAGTGCTGTTTGTTTTTTTCCTAAGAATTCTTTATAAATTAGTTAATATGTTCTTTGACTGTACATGAGTTGTAAATCCTCATGTACATGAGTTTTGTAACTTTTCTTTTGGCTTTGCTTACTAGTTTCAAAACCCAATCTTGCCATGTAGTTTGTATTTTTATGTACTCAAATTTGTTAATCTTTTCTCTTTTAGTTTCTGGATTTTGAGTACTAGTTAGAAAGACCTTCTTAACATCAAAATCATGAAGAAATTCCCTCATATTTTAGTCTAGTAATGTTAAGGTTGCATTTCTAGTAATCATATCATTCGACTTATTTGAAGGTTGTCCTGCATGGTAGATAAGGTAAAGCCTGGGCTTTATCTTCTGGGCTTCATCTTTTTTCCAAAATGGCTACCGAGCTATCCAGCACCATTCATCAAAGGTTCATTTTTTTAATTGAAATATAGTTGATATACAATATTATATTGGTTTCAGATGTACAACATAGTGATTAGGCAATTTATACATAAACAAATGCTCATCAAAATAAGTATAGTTACCATTTGTCAACATGCAGAGAAAATACATTATTGGCTATATTTCCTGTGCTATATTTCCTTCCCCATGACTAATTTATTTCATAATTTGAAGTTCATACCTCTTTATTCCCTTCACCTATTTCACCCATCCTCCCATCCCTCTACCCAATGGTAATCAGCAGTCCATTCTCTGTGTTTATGAGTCAATTTCTGTCTTGTTTTGTTTTTAGATTCCACACATAAGTGAAATCATATAGCATTTGTTCAAAGGTCCATCTGTAACCAAGAAGGTGAAAGACTTACACACTGAAAACTGTAAGAAACTGATGAAGACAGGCAATGCTGCAGTTGTAGCTGCATCCATCCCACCGTTTCCTGGACTTGCCATTGGAATGAAGAAGGAGATATCTAAGCTGCCCTGTGCATACAGTAAAACAACAAATTTGACTGGATCTATACGGTTGGAACTCAACCAAGAATTAGGAGAAGTGCAAGTTGTAGTGCTCCAAAATCTTACAACTACAGACTATCTAGGGTTAAAAGAAATATGGGATGTGAACAGTTCCCAGGAATGTTGTTTTAATTTGTCTGATTTCTCTCAGACTGTTCATGTACAGTTGGACAATATCCATCATATCATAGACAAATTTTCACAAATGCCTAGGGTGCCTAAATGGTTTTCTTGGCTTCACTGGAGATGGCTGGTAACTGTAGATCTGCTTTGGTTATGTAACTGTATTCCTATTAAATTAATGTGTGTGCGCAAGTTAGTTAGTAGTTTAAAACCTATACATGCTTAAGGTACTCTACAAGAAGATATGTCAAAGAAATAATCAATCCTCCCATGTTTTCTTTCATCTGCTACCTCTATAGCTTTTCTTCTTCCTTCCTAATTATAACCTTTAAATAGAATTCGTGCCTCATATCGAATTTACCGAGTATCATAATTCCTCCAGGTAGTAAAGATACCTCAAGACAAATGCTGGGCATAGAAGCCACAGGGCATAAATCTGCAAAGAAGTAAAAAGCTAACCTTTTCAAACAATATGGCTTCTCTCTCACTTACCAACTTTACATCTCCCTGTATGGCCCTGGAAGATGACTGGTTAGCCAGAGACGGGTAAGATTCCTCAAGGGAGGAACAACCTAAGACAGGCACAGTCGCAGGGGGGCCATCAGGTGAGAAATTGGGGATCAACAGAGGTGAGGCTCAGAACCTCACCCCCCCTGCTTTGAGAGAAATCTTCTGCATCCGTGGATGTCTTGCTGCCCTTGTCTAGCCTGGATTAATACTTAGTCCATAGGCACACACCTGATCATCTGATCATCTACATTTGCCTTCTTACAGCACTAAACTATGTTTTCTACCTTTATCTTGCATCTACCTACCACTTCAGCATTTTATTAAAAATAAAAATAATAATAATAATAGGAGAAA